CAGTGCAGTGCAGTGCAGTGCAGTGCAGTGCAGTGCAATGTAGTGTACTGTACTGTACTGTACTGTACTGTACTGTAGTGCACTGCTTTGTACTGCATTGTGCGGTAATGAAATAAATTATGCGTTTTTGCAATAAAATAATGAATAAAAAATGGTTGAATCACGTACATGTAACAGCAGTGAAGGGAAATGGTCCGTGACAGTGAGCAAAACATGCTGATAAGATCGAAACACGATAAGATCGAAACACGATTAAACTCGATTAGAAGCAAGCCTTACTGAGAGAAGGAAAATGATGAAGAAAGTCAAATTCACCTTATTTTATTCTAATCTCCGGATGGAAAAAAACGCACTATACCTAGTAAGAAATGGGATAGTGGAGATTTAAAAAAAATCGAAAAAAGGAAAGAATCATCTGAACCGTGACTAACGAGGGTCACGCGAAGAAGGGTAACTTCTGAATGATTTTAACGCTTTCGTTACTCCTGGCATGCGCCTCCAACAAAATTTATATTTCACCATCAAGCGGGTCAAGGTAAAGAGCCGCATGGTCTCCGCCACGTTAACTTGAATTGAAAGCCTTCAGTGCAACCACCTGTCGTACTAAACATATTTCATTGAAGAGGTCAAAATATAGTTTGCTAAATCCAAAAACCTTCATGCATGAAAATACGAAATACAAGTTTAAGTTTCGACGCCTTCTTAGCAACGAGTTCATCGGAAGCATACTAGTAACGTAATGTAGTCAAATAACTACTAGGATGCAATGTTGCTATCCATAGCGTGACACTTACTGTTCGTTGGACTCCAACTGGAGCGTTCCGAGTTTCTCTCCACCGCGGGCAGGAGTGTACATGGGTACAAACTTATTGATTGTCGCCTTGAATCTCATAAAGCTATGCTCGCCCGTTTCTATTTTAACCTATTTAAGTGCTTCGCTTAACCATCGGCGCAGCCCAATAGTCCTTTTCTTAAAAATTAACCACTTTGTGCAAATGGGTACAGTCGAGCTGTTAGAAAACGCGACAATGTGCGGAAGGGGAGTGGGGGTGGGTAAACTACGAGGGACCAGTAACCAAAAAGAGAAAGAGCTGGAGGAGTTCATTGGAAAATAAACTACATGAGCTAGCCCAAAGAGCTTTTTGATTTGTCCAATGAGCACCCGTCCCGTTCCAACACGCACCTTGATTCACACCGTTGACCAGAAACAGACTGGTTAGTGAAGTGCATTGCAAAGTCTGCCTTCTCTTCTAAACGTAACTTTAATCAGGATTGAACTAGTGAACATTTTTTTATAATATTGACTTAGAGTAAACAAGATGTTGTTGAAAATGTTGTTGTGGCTACGAGAGCCCATTCTTGCAGTTACTGCAGTGTCTGTTGTTGTTGTTGTTGTTGTTGTTGTTGTTGCTGCTGTTGTTGTTAATCAATGTGCTGTATCTCATATTTCAATATAGATTCTCCAAAATGAAATAAGCGAATCCTCTTGATGGCCTAATATGAATAAAGCGTCCCTCTCCCACTCCTCTCCAAACTCCGATCTCCGCAATGTAGAGACGAACTGCCACGTAGTGGGTTTCTCAGCCAACAAAATATCATTCAGCTGGATAACTGAAATTGCAAGGAACAGGTCCTTCGCTTGCAACTGAATGTTACTATTAGCTTCGACTAACTCTCCAAATGAGTATCTGCAAGTATTTAACGGTCAACTTTGCGAACGCTTTTGTTTATCATATAGCTCTTCTGACTTCAGTAAGTCGATTCTCATTGTGTGGTTTATCGATATGCACTGATCGAGTGCTGATACGGTGACGACAGGTGTTTGGCATCAGACATTCACTGACAACACTGGCGGAGAGTTTATTGCAAACCTGGGGGCGAATTTAGGATTCTGGCCTCTTCAGGTGGTGTTGCCCTTCATTTTTGTTAAATTTCCGGCCCTTTGGAACTTACATTAGGGAAGGTGCGCCCTCCCCCCCCCCCCCCCCC